TGGAGTGGATGAAGGATTAGGGGAAATCCAACCCCAAATAGGGAAACATGTAATCCAGGAATACTTGGCTGCTCTAAACAAATTCAAGTCCCCAAAGCCAGATCAACTACATCAGCGTTTCTCAACCTGGGGTCGGGACCCCTGGGGGGGGGGGTCGCGAGGGGGTGTCAGAGGGGTCGCCAAAGATCCATCAGAAAGGTGGAAGGTGAACTACATCTCCCCTAAATCACTGTCAATTCATCCCAAATCCCTCCAGTACATTCTGTTGGTCATGGGGGTTCTATGTTGGAAGTTTGGACCAATTCTATCGTTGGTGGGGTTCAAGGGACTCTTTGATTGCAGGTGAACTATAAATCACAGCAACTACAACTCCCAAATACAAAGCTTTAATTTCCTCAAACTCCACCAGTGTTCACATTTGGGCATATTGAGCATTCGTGTGAAGTTTGGTCCAGATCTATTATTGTTTGAGTCCACAGTGCTCTCTGGATGTAGGTGAACTATAACTCCAAAACAGAGAAGCATCCCGAGCTCTGAAGATCACCTGGGAAGGAATCCCACTGGAGCATTGCAGCGCACCCAAATACCTGGGAGTCACTCTGGACCGTGCTCTGACCTACAAGAAGCACTGCCTGAACATCAAGCAAAAAGTGGGTGCTAGAAACAATATCATACGAAAGCTGACTGGCACAACCTGGGGATCACAACCAGATACAGTGAAGACATCTGCCCGTGCGCTGTGCTACTCTGCTGCTGAGTATGCATGCCCAGTGTGGAACACATCTCACCACGCTAAAACAGTGGATGTGGCTCTTAATGAGACATGCCGCATTATCACGGGGTGTCTGCGCCCTACACCACTGGAGAAATTACACTGCTTAGTGCACCTGACATCCGCCGGGAAGTAGCAGCCAATAGTGAAAGGACCAAGGCAGAGACATCTCCAGCTCATACCCTGTTTGGGTATCAGCCAGCACGCCAATGACTTAAATCAAGAAATAGTTTTCTAAGATCTACAGAGACACTCGCTGGAACACCTCAGCAAGCGAGAGTCCAAAAGTGGCAGGCTCAAACCCAGCACCTCAACCAATGGCTGATACCAAATGAGAGACTCCCTCCTGGGTACACAGAAGACTGGGCGACTTAGAAGGCATTGAACAGACTGCGCTCTGGCACCACGAGATGCAGAGCCAACCTTCAGAAATGGGGCTACAAAGTAGAATCCTCGACATGCGAGTGTGGAGAAGAGCAAACCACTGACCACCTGCTGCAATGCAACCTGAGCCCTGCCACATGCACAATGGAGGACCTTCTTGCAGAAACACCAGAAGCACTCCAAGTGGCCAGATACTGGTCAAAGGACATTTAATCAACTACCAAACTCACACATTTTGTATTTTGTCTGTTTGTTTGCTTTGTTCTGTTAGAAATGTAATATAATTGACTGGTTGTCCTGACACGACAAATAAATAAACAATAAAGACAACTCCAAAACTCAAGATCTTCCAGTATTTTCTGTTGGCCATGGGAGTTCTGTGTGCCAAGTTTGGTTCAATTCCATCATTGGTGGAGTTCAGAATGCTCTTTGATTGTAGGTGAACTATAAATCCCAGCAACTACAACTCCCAAATGACAAAATCAGTCCCCCACCCCACTCCACCAGTATTCAAATGTAGGCGTATCGGGTATTTGTGCCAAATTTGATCCACTGAATTAAAATACATCTTACATATCAGTTATTTACATGATGATTCCTAACAGTAACAAAATTGCAGTTATGAAGTAGCAACGAAAGTAATTTCATGGTTGGGGGTCAGCACAACATATAGAACTGTATTAAGGGGTCGTGGCATCAGAAAAGTTGAGAACCACTGAACTACATCCAAGAGTATTGAGGGAACTAGTGGAAGTTGTTTTGGAACCATTGGAAATCACTTTTGAGAGTTCTTGGAGAACGGGACAAGTCCCAGCAGATTGGAGGAGGGCAAATCTGGTCCCTATCTATCTTCAAGAAGGGGGGAAAAGATGAACCAAACAACTACCAATGACTGGTCAGCCTCACGTCAATACCAGGCAAGATTCTGGAAAAGATCATCAAAGAGGTGTCTGCAAACACTTAGAAAGGAATGCGGGCATTGCGAATAGTCAACACGGATTTATCAGAAGCAAGTCCTGTCAGACTCATCTGATCTCTTTTTTGGATAGAGTTCCAATCTGGGTGGATGCACGGCGTGGATAGAATCATAGACTTGGAAGACACCTCATGGGCCATCTAGTCCAACCCCCTGCCAAGAAGCGGGAACATCGCATTCAAAACACCCCCGACAGATGGCCATCCAGCCTATGTTTAAAAGCTTCCAAAGAAGGAGCCTCCACCACACTCTGGGGCAGAGAGTTCCACTGCTGAACGGCTCTCACAGTCAGGAAGTTCTTCCAGGAAGTTCTGCTACCCCTCTACACCTGGAATCACACTGTGTCCAATTCTGGGCACCGCAATTAAAGGCAGACGTTGACTCTAAGCTGGAATGTGTCCAGAGGAGGGCGACTCAAAGGATCCGGGGTCTGGAGAACAAGCCCTATGAGGCGTGGCTTCAAGAGCTGGGCATGTTTAGAGGAGGAGAGGAGACAGGATGAGGGCCATGGATCAAGAGGTGAGGAGCACACTTGTTTTCTGCTGCCCTGGAGACTAGGATGCAATGGAACAATGGCTTCAAACTACAGGAAAGAAAGGAGATACCACCTGGACACGAGGAAGAACTTCCTGACTGTGAGCGAGAGCTGTTGAGCAATGGAACTCTCTGCTCCTGAGTGTGGGGGAGGCTCCTTATTTGGAGGCTTTGAAGCAGAGTCTGGGGGTGCTTTGAAGGCAAATTCCCTGCTTCTTGGCAGAATGGAGTTGGGCTGGATGACCCACCAGGTCTCTTCCAACTCTAGGATTCTATTATTCTATTCTATTTGTCTGTCTGTCTGTCCATCCATTTGTCTGTCTTTCTATTTTAAAGCACCCCTACTTGACTGTCTATCTATCTATCCATCCATTATTTTATTTTATTATTATTTCAAACTTTTGTACCCCGCCCTTCTCAACTCAGGGTTACAGCTGGCAGCAATTTGATGCCCCCACATACAAACATAATAAGTGAAAACATTAGATTACAATTCAATTAAATTAAAATCCATTTAAAATAGTATTCAATGTTGGCCATATCTAAATCCGAAATTCTGCTCCCAATGACACAGTCCAAAGCCTATCCATAGTCCGTTCTCCATAACATTGTCATCATTGTCAGCCTGCTACCCGAATGCCTGGTCCCACAACCATGTTTTCAACTTCTTCCTGAAGGAAAGGAGGGATGCAGTTGACCTAATTTTGCTGGGGAGCAAGTTCCATAGGCAGGGGGCCACCGCTGAGAAGACCCTGTCTCTAGTCCCAAGCACGTTTGTGACAGAGGCGGAATCAAGAGCAGGGCCTCTTCGGAAGATCTTAAGCTCTGAGGTGGGATGTAGAGGGAGATACGTTCGGACAAGAAGGTGGACCGGAAGCATATAGGGCTTTATAGATCAAGACCAGCACTTTGAATTGTGCTTGGAACGGGACTGGCAGCCAGTGGAAATGACACAACGGGGGGGGGGGGGGGAATTATGCTCCAGTGAGTAACCTAGCTGCTGCCCGTTGGACTAGTTGAAGTTTACGAACAGTCTTCAAAGGCAACCCCATGTAGAGCACGTTGCAGTAATGTATTTGGGATGTAACAAGAGTATGGACCACAGTGGCCAGATCTGACTTCTCAACCATCCATCTGTTCTAAAACATCCCAACTTGACTGTCTATCCATCCACTCACCCACCCATGTTTTAGCACCCCTATTTGACTGTCTATCCATCCATCCATCCATGTTTTAGAACCCCTACTTGACTGTCTACCCATCCATCCAACCATCCATCCATGTTTTAGCACCCCTACTTGACTGTCTACCCATCCATCCAACCATCCATCCATGTTTTAGCACCCCTACTTTACTGTCTGTCCATCCATCCATCCATCCATCCATGTTTTAGCATCCCTACTTGACTGTCTACCAATCTATCCATGCTTTAGCATCCCTACTTGACTGTCTACCAATCTATCCATGTTTCTGCATCCCTACTTGACTGTCTACCCATCCATCCGTATTTGAGCATCTCTACTTGACTGTCCGTCCATCCATCCATCTGTGTTTTAGCACCCCTACTTGACTGTCTGTCCATCCATCCATCCATCTGTGTTTTAGCACCCCTACTTGACTGTCTGTCCATCCATCCATCCATCCATCCATCCATCCATGTTTTAGCATCCCTACTTGACTGTCTACCCATCCATCCGTGTTTTTGCATCCCTACTTGACTGTCTACCCATCCATCCGTATTTGAGCATCCCTACTTGACTGTCCATCCATCTGTGTTTTAGCACCCCCTACTTGAATGTCTGTCCATCCATCCATCCATCCGTGTTTTTGCATCCCTACTTGACTGTCCATCCATCCATCCATCCATCCATCCATCCATCCATCCGTCTGTGTTTGAGCCCCCCCCCCCCCAACTTGCCTGCCTTGGTGCCTGCCAGCCTTCAAGCCCTCCCTCCCTCCTTCCTCCTCCTTCCTCCTCCTCCTCCTCCTTTCCGCCAAAGGGAGATCAAGAGGACCATTCCTCCCAGTCTCTCCCAAAGGGAAAGATTCCCAGCGAGATGGTCCCTAGGAAGGAGCAGAAGCCAGTGTCAGCTGACTGTTGTTTTTCTGAACTGCCCCTTCGTTCATGGCCTCTCCACAGCTGTGCTGACTCATAGCCTTTCTTCTCTCTCTCTCTCTCTTTGCAAAAAAGTGGTACCACTTGATGCAAAGAAAGGACCCTGGCATCACGGGAATGCCAAGATGTCAGTGTTTACCTCTTTTAAAATAGGGAGAAAAATTATATATCTATCTGTGTGTATGGATGGATGGATGGATGTCAAGAAAGAGACTTACCTGGGTGGGATGCCTGTCCTCCCATAGAAGCCCGGCGGCGAGGGTGGGGGGGGGAGAGATGGGGGGAGTCCCCTTCCCAGTCTCCCTCCAGCCTTGATGTTGATGGAAGGGGGGCTGCCTGGATTTATGAATGGAAAGGGTCCCACCCACCTGGGAGGCGGGGCAGGGAGGGAGGGAGGGAGGGGGCGCACCACGTGACCAGCCTCTCATACAAGGGAAGAGGGGTCGGGGGAACGTGTCATTCATGGCAGGAAGATTGGCGGCCTCTGATTGGACGGGACCCAGGCTGTATTTGCATAGGAGGGGGGCGGGGCAGAGCTTATGTAAAACCAAGGGATGGGGAAGGAGGGAAGGGAGGGAGGGAGAGAGATGGAGGAGTTAATACAGAAATCAGTGGCTCCCAACCTTTTTCAAAATCATCTTTATTATGGAATTATTATTATTTTTTTGGAAGGGGAATTGGGAGAAGTGGGAAAATTGGGAAAGGGAGGGGTATTTATTTATGGTGTCAGGCAACCAAACAGTTGTATTACATTTTTGACAGAACAAACATACAAAAGACACAAAGTTTGCAAGATCAAATGTCCTTTGACCAGTATCTGGCCACTTGGAGTGCTTCTGGTGTTGCCTTAAGAAGGTCCTCCATTGTGCATGAGGCAGGGCTCAGGTTGCATTGCAGCAGGTGGTCAGTGGTTTGCTCTTCTCCCCACTCACATGTCAAGGATTCCACTTTGTGGCCCCATTTCTTGAGGTTGGCTCTGCATCTCGTGGTGCCAGAACGCAGTCTGTTCAGCGCCTTCCAAGTCGCCCAGTTTTCTCATTGGGTATCAGCCATTGATTGAGGCTCTGGGTTTGAGCCTGCCACTTTTGGACTCTCGCTTGCTGAGAGTGTCTCTGTAGATCTTATTTCTTGATTTAAGTCGTTGGCATGCTGGCTGATACCCAAACAAGGGATGAGCTGGAAATGTCTCTGCCTTGGTCCTTGGCTGCTACTTCCCGGCGGATGTCAGGTGGTGCAATATCGGCTAAGCAGTGTAATTTCCCCAGTGGTGTAGGGGGCAGACACCCCGTGATAATGCGGCATGTCTCATTAAGAGCCACATCCACCGTTTTAGTGTGGTGAGATGTGTTCCACACTGGGCATGCGTACTCAGCAGCAGAGTAGCATAGCGCAAGGGTAGATGTCTTCACTGTGTCTGGTTGTGATCCCCAAGTTGTGCCAGTCAGCTTTCGTATGATGTTGTTTCTAGCACCCACTTTTTGCTTGATGTTCAGGCAGTGCTTCTTGTAGGTCAGAGCACGGTCCAGAGTGACTCCCAGGTATTTGGGTGCGCTGCAATGCTCCAGTGGGATTCCTTCCCAGGTGATCCTCAGAGCTCGGGATGCTTGTCTGTTCTTGAGATGAAAGGCACATGTCTGTGTTTTAGATGGATTAGGGATCAGGTAGTTTTCCCTATAATAGGCAGTAAGAGCACCTAGAGCTTCGGAGAGCTTCTGTTCAACCATCTCAAAGCTCCCTGCTTGAGCAGTAATGGCACGATCATCAGCATAGATGAAGCTCTCTGTCCCTTCTGGCAGTGGTTGGTCATTTGTGTAGATTTTGTTTTGTCGTGTCAGGAGCGACTTGAGAAACTGCAAGTCGCTTCTGGTGTGAGAGAATTGGCCGTCTGCAAGGACGTTGCCCAGGGGACGCCTGGATGATTTGATGTTTTATCATCCTTGTTGGAGGATTCTCTCATTTCCCCGCATGAGGAGCTGGAGCTGATACAGACGATTTGGTGGCTTCAGTTGAAGCAAGGATTCGTGAGAACAGGCGCTTCACAATAACAGGTCTCTC